TTTTAGAGACCGAGTGCCCAAAAACTGGCCCCGCCCCCACTCCACCCTCCTGCCCCGCCCCCTCTCTGCCCCCCATCCCCTGCCCCGCCTGTCCACAGGACCACTCACCACCTCCAGGGCCCACCACAAATCGCCCAGGCAGCCCAGCAGCGCTATGGCAGCCACACTCTCTGCCCATGCCCTGCAGCAGTGTGAGGGCAGAGTCTTGTCTACGCTGCGCTGCTCCGTGTGGGCCACGCTCGGGGGCAACCCTCCTTCAGGGGGGCTGCTGGAGAGGAGGGGCTCACGGTGGGAGGCAAGGCTGGGGCAACGGCACGTGTGCCTACAGAGTGGGCTCCGAGTGCCGCCTCTGCGAACCCGTGCCATAGGTTCGCCACCACTGCCCTATACTATTTCAGACAAATGGCTGTCCAGTCTCTTCTTAAAAACTTCCAGTGTTGGAGCATTCACAGTTTCTGGAGGCAGGTTGTTCAACTGATTAATTGTTCTAACTGTCAGAAAATTTCTTCTTAGTTCTAGGTTGCTTCTCTCTTTGGTTAGTTTCCATCCATTGCTTCTTGTCCTGCCTTCAAGTGCTTTGGAGAATAGCTTGACTCCCTCTTCTTTGTGGCAGCCCCTGAGATATTGGAACACTACTATCATGGCCCCCCTCGTCCTTCTCTTCATTAGACTAGACATAGCCAATTCCAGCAACCATTCCTTTGTTTTAGCCTCCAGTCCCCTGATCATCTTGGTTGCTCTTCTCTGTACTCTTTGTAGAGTCTCAACATCGTTTTTACATCGTGGTGCCCAAAATTGGATGCAGTATTCCATACCTGACCCAAAAACAGGGAGGTAGAAAAGAATGCTTACTAAAGATGGGGAAATGGATGAAGAAATTTTAAGTAATGCAGTTGCCGGTAGAAATGTAGTGGGGTGCTACTATCTGTGAACTGCTGTGAGAAATGAATGTTTGTTGAAAGAAACAAAAATGGCTGTGTATAACTTTGTGGTTTTGACCATGCTATGATATGGAAGTAAGGGTCTGATAGAAGCATAACAGAAGAATGAGTAGCAGTGCTTGACGTAAAAAGTATGCATGGCAAAACAGGAAGAGGGACCCAAGAATAAATGGCTGCTGAATGAATAAGAACAAAATACAAAACTGAGT